ACAACGGGACCAAAAGCAGACAAAAGATCAACACCAATGATTGCAGTGTGGACATCAGTGATGGCGAAAGTCCACCTGAATTGTCATCTTAAACCGAGATCGAGGGTGATGGAGCGACGGCCGTAGGTGTGAATGCGACTACCGTTTGCTGCTTGTAGAGTGACAGCGGTTGGTTGAAGGTGGCGGTAGTGTGCCGTACGGGGAATCACGCTCAGTTCAGCACCGGTATCAATCAAAAATCGGATACCAGTGCTTTGGTCTTGGATGAATAAAAGACGACTGGGAAGGATGCCGGAAACAGGCGCCGTCATTACTGTCCGGCTTTGGGGTTTCCCTGTGAGGTGAACGTACAGGGTGGGGTGCATTTCTTGGCTCTGGGGCCAAATTGTTGGTGGTACCAGCAATGTTGAGGGTTAGAACTGGCTGGCGGGTGATTTCTGCGGGTTTGTGAAGTCGAGCGACTTCGACTTCGACTACGGCTGGATGACCGTGAGCGGGAGAGGTGAAGAGCCAATTGCTGCATCTGCAGTTCAAGGTTTCCCATGCGCGAAGTATTATCATCACAGCGAGGGGCGGTCGGGGTTGGGTTGGAGCAAGCGGTGATGTGATGCGAAGCTGGGTTTGCTTCGAACATTTTATCCGCGGCCAGTGCCATTTCATCCAACGAACTGTTGGAGAGGACGGATAAAACTTCTCGGATGCGTGGAGAGAGACGCTTCAACCAAAGCTGGCGGAGGATGGCGTCATCAAGTACGCGGGTGCCGAGGAGTTGCCGCACGTGTCGCAACCACTGGGACGGGGTACGGTCGTCGATTTCGAGGTCCCCAAACAACTCATGTAATCGACGTTCATCCGACACAGCTGCGTGGGTGATTAACGCTTCCTTTAATTGATTGTATAGGTCATTCTCGGGCATGTTGATGATGAGTTCGAATACCTCTTCCGCAATATCGGTTGGCAGGGAAGTGACTATATGAGAATACATAAGCGTCTGGGAACGGATGCGGTGGGCACGGAAATGGGCTTCGGCTTGGGCGAATCATAACCGGGGGTTGTTATTACCAAATACCGGCAAATTAATGTGAGGAGACATAGGAAGGTCCTCTATGTCTAGTTTTGATTGCTCCATAAGTGAAATATACCGTAAACAAGTAAAATAAAACGAAATGAAACTCCTGAAGAATCTGGGGTACCGTAGGAAAATATGAAGCGATAGATAATCTAAACAGGGGCTCACCAAATATGTAGTGGAAAAGATACTACATATACGAATAATAATGAAATAAACGGTACAAGGAATGGACTAACGGAAGGATTGTCCGCTGGTCGATTGATCCTGCTCTTGCGATGTGTGGTTCCGGTCGATGAGGTGTAGAGGAGCTGAAATGGATGACTGCGACAGTTAACGGACCGCTTGACGATAACTGATAATGCTTGCTTAATTCCTCAGCAACNCGTGCGTATTTACGAACAGAATTTTGTATTGTGTCATAGGTGCTGCGCATATTAAAACAAGCTGTACAATCAGGTCAGATAAAGTGGATAGAAAAGTAAGACACTACAAAGCTACCAGGAACATGAAACAGTCTCCCATTGGACACCTGTTCACCCTGAGGGCCAACCATATCCTCCGAGGGCACTGTTACACACTAGACAGAACCAGGTGCAGGTTAGCAATTAGACATCACTTCTTTGCAAATAGAGTAGTCCCTGCATGAAACAAACTACCAGCTCGAATAGTTGCATATCCTACAATGAAGGATTTCAAACTAGAGCTGGACAAGGAGTGGTACCTCTTATTCCCAGAACTGCCCTAGGGATCAGGGTTCCCTAAGTTTACTGATGGAATGCATATAACAGATACTGCGCCGTCTCCCTTTCCCTTCTACCTTCCAGATATTACTCCCTCGTGGAAAGTCGGAGGAAGCTTTACACGCGCAGGCGAGTCAGTCCACAGACGGAACTCGCCATTACCAGGACACCCAACAGGCGAAGGCCTCTCTACGTCCTGTGATTTGTATTTGAATTTGAAAATGAACTGGATTTTTTCCACATTAGTTTCCAAGGCTATATTATATACACACCGCGTGTTTCAAGGTGAATTGCCATGGTACTTCGACGTGATTGATAAATTGGTAAGCTTTGGAGTCGTAGATTATTCTTAAAATAAATAATTATTTCTCTCCATTGAGATATGGCTCATAGCTCCAATTTGGATCGGAGAATCAAAATTGTTCTTCCAAACAATGAGCATTTATTATTAAATTATAAAAACAAATCATTAGTTGAAGATATTTTCCATGAAGCATGCACCGTTATTGATATTGAAGACAGAGAACTTTTTGGACTGGCTGTTTCTTCAGGTATGTTTGTCATCCATGGTGGCTTCATAGTTCGGACAAATTATTTGTAGGCGAGTGTTACCTATTTTTGGATCCTCGTGAAAAGCTTTCAAAAATAAATTTCGGGCATCTTACTCTGCCAGAACGGTGTCGAAGGGTAAGTCCCTCAGTGCTTTTTAGTGTTTGCCTTGATATGATTATTCTCCTATGTTAACCTAAGGAAGGCAATGGCCTTTTCAACCCATTTGCTGACTGTTTCCTGTTGGCATTATCTAAATAACGCGATAATAACGCGCTATATAACGCGTTGTGCTATGTGTTTTACCGGGGCGAACTTTTGTGCAAATTAAGTCGGTTTGCAACAGGCCTTTGGGCGTTTCTCTACAATTCACTCGCGGGTCGTTTCGCGCAACGACCATTCTTAGTTCTACTTAGAATTCATTATTGAATCACCCATTCATATTCTAGAGACGTTTATAACCTCGAATTGTCAACTCGAATTGTATCAAAAATATAGCCGTTCGAATTCTCCCGCACCGCCGTCGGCTTCCTAATGCGTAGTCATGTAGTGCGTCTTCGTTATCAAAACTCTTTCAATCACAAATAAAATAGCCATAATGTTTTTGGAAAATATATTATCAAAAATATAAACATAGTAATTATTATATATACGCACCTGCAGGTAGACATAATCGATACTTGTAAATAAATTTAAATTATACATATATATAAATATATATATATATATATATGTATATTGCATATACAATAATGCAATATTGATACATATCAATATATTAAATTATTAAAATTTTATGAAAACATTTATAAATCTTTTTAGCATCGATGTTCATTTTTGGTGATTGTACTCCAAGAATTGATGTCTGTATACGGCATCTGCAAAATAGTAACATGGAACAAATTATTAAAATTTATGATAGCATAAATTTTTTAAATCTTTTGTGTTAGACGTATAAGTTTTTAAGCAATACAAAGCAAACTAAATAACTAAAATCTTCAGTAAAGGAGGTAAAATACTTTGCACTCACCCATTATAGTGCCCTTTATTTTTGAGGCTGCCAAAGAACACTTACCTTAGATACCTTTTCAGTTGAGACTTTTGGTCACCTGCGGGCTAAATACCCGACGAAATAGAACAAGTAGACATTCTCGAATAGTGTCTCCTCCACTTGCAACCAAATATTTCACCTGGCCGAAAATTGTGTTCGTTAGTTATTTTAAAAGCACGACCATTTGATTAAAATTAAACATTACTTTGACTTCCAGTTCTTCGGATGATCTTTGAAAGCCTTTGGTAGTTGCAACGGGCAACCGGACACTCACCGGTGCATTCTTCGAATACGGCAATCCGTTGATTTTCGAATTCATCTCGTTAACTACCTATGTGAGCCTATCCAAGGAGAGTTGCGTTGCCCGAAGAGCTCAATCTGTTGATGTTGGCTATATAAGATTCCTAGTGTCTCACCGTTTTTGTCGCAGACCACGAATCTGTTTGGGAATGGTGATGCAACGATTTTGATTCCGTCTTCAACATCAATGAATGAGTTGCAAACAATAAAACGTGTTTCCATTAGCTTACCTGAAAGCCGTCACAGGGAGGTGTGAACTGAATTGAAGACACAAATTAATAAAATTGGTTAAACGCACGGATGTGTAGATGGTCTATTCTCAGTTGCAGTGTTAACTACCACACTTTGGCTAGAACCTGGTGTTCTTCAGAAAATATAATTATATGAATTACAACTTACTGTACAATGTTCCCAGTATTACGGGCATTTACCAGAGTGACAGTTAGCAGCATAGAGGTACACTCGAGAGTCACCGTTTTGTCAACAAGGAGCATCTCAATAATTTTGAAATGAAAATATAAAATTAGTGTGCAGTTGGGTTTTAATAATTTGACTTAGTCTAATTACACTTAAAAATCAAAGTTGGAATATTAATATTCCATAATGACCCTGTAGTTAATAAGCTAACGCTATCAGTCATTAATGGACCCTAGGGGCTGTTTATTTTAATAAACAACCCCTTGAGGATACCACAGCCGTCTCAATAGGAAACTTAGAGGAAAACGGATGTGGATTCATAAATGTCGACATGCAGGGACACTTGATTGGCCAGGGCCATTGTTCGTCCTGTGAAGACTTGACTGGAATGAGCACTCGTAAGATACTCAAGTACCCGAGTTCATAGTCTCACGCGCAATCTGCGATCAGACATGAGCATGAGTACATGAGAAAATATCAGAAATTAGTACCATATTACGACTCATTGGCTTAATTGGTTAAATGTTTGGGGTGCTCATTTATCTCCTCGTATAATTTTATTGATAGGTCAAGCGTTGAAACAAACAATCATACGAAATACTTCATGCTTTTTGTCTATACACGTTGTTCCGAGAAATACAATATTTTCACAGGATGAAGCACAATTTTGTATGTCACGCTAGATTACTTAACTTTTGACTTAGAAAGTAAATATGAAATCTGTTTGCTATTAAAGCTGTAAGATGAAAGTCTTTCAACTAAAAACAAAAACTTCAAATTGACTGAGAATTTGTTTTCTGTTTTAAAGCAGTTGTAAATTTACTCTTCTACGCACTTATTTTTAGCTTACTGAAAATATGGGTGACCAAATAAAAATGCGCGTTAAATAATTGACGTTAGATGAAACTCTTGCTTTCAAATTAACACTTGCATGTAAATCCAGAATTCTCACTTTTAAACTTAATGCAACAACATAACCGACTTTTAAATGAAATGCCTACATTTTTTTTATTACTTGTCGAAAGAACTTCAATATATCACAGGGGCACTACAATAAGAAGCAATGTAATTTTCAGCATAACTCATTCCTAACTATTATAAAACAGAATAATTCGGTGTAAGCAAAATATCCAAAAATCTTTGAGTAAATTTGGAGTACTTACTTGATCAACCAATTATTCAAATGCCAGCAACAAACTAACGCTTTGAAGCGTAGTCTGACCATTATTTTAAATCAAAGTGAGAGACATTAATCCATTATATTTAGTGATAAAAGTTGATTCTCGAACAATTTTCATTTTTCTACACAGGAGGAATATTATTCAGCATTTCTTGGTCACTTCTATTTTCCGTTCCTGCTGAAAGTTTCTGCTTTTGGTTTTAAAATACTAGTCAAACGTATGGTCCCATTGCTTGATTCCGTTAGGAGATTTCAAAACGTTCATGTCATTCCCGATTGTTTGTGTGTTGTATGGCAACCCTTTCCAGTGGCCGCTTCCCCCTTCCTGAAAATTGTACCTTTATTTATTCAATAAAAGGAAGTAAAAATGAAGATGAAAAAAACATTAAATCAGGTGTTTATCACAACTGGAGAAAACGTGATCATTCATAACTTGTTTCCAGTTTTGTCAATAGTCTTAAACCGTAGTACAACCGTTTTGACCTTTTATCCTCAACCCCCTTCCACCCTCTTGATATGTCGATCAATTAAAAAATAGTACGCAAAGATAAATATTAAACTAAAGATTAAGGGAGTCGGGGATAACACATTTCTAGGAAAACGATATATCAATTCCATTGTTTATGACACTGAGCCATATTATTCGTTGTCCTAAATCATTGATTTCGTGAGATTCTAAACTAGGAATTTTAATGCGACCTAGGTGATTGAGAGGTGTAAAAAGAGTTTATTTCTGTCACCTTTAGTTTTTGTCATCACCCTTGAGCATCGTCCGCTGAGTTAGTCCTTTTGTGTAACATGCACTCCAGCCATATTAAGTGATGAAGTTTACGCATTTTTCAGTTCATAATAATAATTAATAATAATAATTAATTAATTAATAATTAATAAATAATTAATCTACCTCACTATTGAGTGAACGGTTTTCTATCAAAAAGTGGTGTACCGGAGGTAGAGGTGTTTAAACAGCTGTCGTTGAAATTCCACTTAACACATCTGTAAAATATCATGCACAGTATGTGTACTCCCTATTTTTCCCCTTAATGAACCATGTTTTTAAAAACAGTAACTGTTACATTTTTTCGTAAAAAATAAAGTAAATATTATTAAAAACCATTAATTCATAGCGTAAATTTCGAAGGTCGTTAGTTCATAAATAAAATGCAAACTATGGAGAAGATCGGGAGCTAAAAGTGCTATACTTCTTAGGCAGGGAATTTTCTTCACTACTTTTGAATCAACGTCTGCCGCATGGGACAATATATCGCAGTCACGCTGAAAGCTTACTTTCGTTAATAAATCTCAATTGAGCCTCCCGCAAGCTTGGACCAGTTAAGATGTAGCGGTCTAAATAGCATAAATTGTTTACTCTATATATTGGCTGTTAGAATGAAATTAGAAACTTGATCAAACCAATTCAGTGGGACCGTATCAAAAATAAACACTAACACTAAAATCATCCATAAGAGATTACAACTTACTGGAAGCTTCACTCAGCATTACAATGTCTGCGATGCACTCCAGATCACACAACTCGTGACCTGGGCGTCAAATAGTTCCGCTACCTTTAAACAAGAACAGGGCTATTTTCATATCTATATAAAACAAAGTAGTTTTAATTACAAAATAGACCAGCCATTTGAGTCAGTTTCATTAAACACGGAGCTCCTAGCATGAAACTTATATCCGAAGGCTCTTGTTGTGAATGCCCCAAGAAAAGTCACTTGGCCTGGGCAACTCGGTAGTATTCCGCCCATAAACAACTTACTGAATATTTTTCTTTCTATAGAGATTATTTTACCTTGATTTGTTTGAAACACATTCTGGCCTGGAACATGATATATATATCATTTACTTCACAAAAAGGAGGTTGATTTTTAATAATTAGTTTTGGTTTTGTGCCCAAACAATTAGTAATTAAGCGCTACCGTTGACTAGAAACAATTTTTTTAAATCATTTTCGTTTCTCCCGAAACATGCGTTTTTTCTTATGAAAGCGTTTACACCCGAACTGAAATATAATTTCTCAAGCGTTTATTATTGACAGGTTCTGAATTATAACCATGTTTTTATAGAGAACATTGAAAATTATTCAAATATTATAGAGGTCATCTAATTTCCGATCGTACTGACAATGCGTCTGTGGTGCTTTTGTTGAGAGAATGCCTCAGTAAATGTGTGAAATTAGTGAGGTTTGATTGTAAAACATTCCATATGCTACCTTTTATTAGAACTGAATCACAGGTACGGTCTATTCTAGTTTCAGGAAAGTTACAGTTAATCAAACAGAAAAGTTCTATATCCTAAGTAGCATACATAGAGTACAATTTATGAGAGTAAACATTGAAGGAGCAATCAGAGAAAAGTGGATGCAGGTCGAGGAAAAAATCATTAAGCTATTATCTTACGGAGGAAGCCACCAACAAACCAGTTGTAAATAAAAACTTCATAAAAAAGACAAAATGGCTGTAATAATTTGGCACAATGTGGAAGCCAATAGTGTAGTTCAGATGCAAAACAGTATTTGAAATAGCTATCCTTACACTTAGTGGATGTATGGCAATTATTAGTCGATCGATGCAAACCTAATACGCATGGATATGCATGGTTAATGGTTGGAAAGCTGAAGTAAATGCAAACACAGGCATTGGTACAGTTGGATTGACGAGTTTGACGATAAATGTTCGGACTCACTAAATGTGGACGCAGACACATAAAACGCTGTGAATTTCCGGAAGGCATGAAGCTGAACTGTTGGCAAACCATGCTCTCATTGCATGACAGTAATGGTCGATTTGATTTGATTATATATTGCATTTCGCCTTGTCTGTAACAAACAAAGTGTGAACCGAAAAGCTAGGATGCACTGTAAAGCTGTTTCAACCTGATTGGGAATCGAGCCCGGGACCGCACAGATAGTATGCAAGCATACCAACCTCTGAGCCACTGAGTAGCTGATCAGTTTGTTTACACATCGTTCATCTCTGAAAGCTTGTGCTAGCTAATCTCAGCACTAGTGTCCAAGGTTATAACTCTGTTGGAAATATTCCGAACCCGACTGGCGTATCATCTGTGGAAAAATTGGAAAACAGTCTAATCGGGTATCCGTTGCTCAATTGAGCAGCGTGCTTGCTTCCTACCTGTGATATCCTATGTGCGATCCTCAGTTGGGTCACTGGATTCACGAATTGCCAATGAAACCCAACCAGCTGTACAGGGCTTCTTAGGTTTCGAGTTTACACTTCATTGACTCTGCTCACGACCAGATTCACCACATACTATTATTGTATACAGGTTTTGATTTGATGATGACGGGAATCGAGTGAATGAGTGAACTGTTAGAGGGAGATTTCACCAAATTATCGTAAAACGCCATTGGATAAATCGATAATAGAGTAGTACTTTTCAGTTTAGTCTAGTACACATGAAAAAGCATGGACCTGCGTTTACGAGACATGCTGAAATGCTTTTGAAAGTTGATTCCAGGTTTATTCCCACGGAAAAACACAACGAATCAGTCTCCAAAAACAGTCTTACGAGTACAGCTGTCGCATTGAGAGGCAGTGGATATCTATCTCGTCGGTACCCAGCTGAGTGTGCAATCTCAGTTTCCGGTTGGACAGTTAGTGCAAACCAGGAACGTGGCAACTTTGAGGAGTTTATGTTGTTTAGTGTTTACATTTTTATAATGGTGTTGAGAAACCCCCTAAATTACGTGATCCAAACGTCCAGACGGGTGAGACCAATGACGAGCGGACGAAAACAGGTTGCTACATTTGATCCAAAAGTGAAAGCAGAAAACAAAGTTGAAAGATTGTAATTTTTCGGTTTTTCTGTTTCTGATTTTCGATCCTACCAGCTTTTCACATTGGACTTAGCTTGTATTTAACACCCAAAACCGATGAAAATTGTTCGTACTACTGGAGTTCTTTTCAACTTTGAAGTACTTTCTACTGATTGCACAACAAATATCTCCGTCAGTCTTTATTTTCATATTATGTTCGGAAAATACCGGCGCTTAATAATTGTGAAACATCGAAGGGAGATTGCTCATCGTGCTCAGCCTTCATCTTAACTCACGTTCTACTTGTCTGAACCGGAATCACTCAACGATAGTTAAATACAACCATCTGCCTGATTTTGTTGGTCAAGAAATTTTTGATTACAAAATTTCTTATCTTTGGTTTGGACACACCTATAGTATCCCCAATTCTTAATAATGTAATCAGTTTAAAAGTCTACAGAGTCCTTATTGTCACATTATTTTAAATGGATTTTTGATCTAAGGCAAACTCTCAAGTGAAGCTCTGCGCCGATCACATCATGAAGTAATACAGTATGGAGAAACTGTGGTGTCTTGTGTTTTCGTTCAAAGACATTTGCCTTGGTGACTGTTGATTCTTGGTGACTCAATCACATCTGATAGGCTAGTCAATGGTTCTGAGTCTATCTGCCACTTTTGTGTTTCACTTAGACAGTTGTGTGACTACGGAAATATAGCTGATTCCTCCCGAATGGGAACAGCATTATTTCATTCATATATGAGTAGCAGATACATAATGAGAAGTACACTAAAAGACCAGGAGTTATTTACCTAGAGCCCCGTTTTGTGGGTGACAAATATTGGACTGGTATCTCTAATGAGATAAGATTTGTGACAATCCTCTTGTGGACCCCCAAAAACTTTAGTGGTGACCCATGTATGAGGCTCAATCCAAACAGAGCATTTTCTTCGGAATATGAACACATTGTCGGACAGCCCACAGAACGTGTATTTGACATAGAAAAGATTTCACTCTAACAGCCTAAATGCAATAGGTGGAATACCAGAATAACTGGAATGATATAAATTTCACAACCTCGGTGAAAATTAGATACGTTTGACAACCATTTATGTTAAGCCCATTGATTAAGTCAGAATCAGTTCCCTAAGCATAGATTAATACACTGTATCTAACAAAAATGCCCAATAATCATGCCGGTCTACGAACGCTGGTATTGTGGACTGAAACATGACAAAATTAGATTTTTTTCTAAATATGTGCCAAAGTTAATAGAAGGAAGTGTCTTGGCGGTGGTAACCAAGTGGTTAGGTCACCAACTTGTGACCCGGAAGTCCCGGGTCCGAACCGCCGCCTGCCTCCCCTATTTCTGTATTTCCCCAGACAGCCTTTGTATGGTCGTGGCCCCTTTCCTGAAAGTTGACTGTACATTTGTATATTCAGTAAATAAAAAGGAAGTAAAAAGACAATAAACATTAACATGAATACCTCTCAACAAGTACTAAATAATTAATTTCCATTTCAAGATGAATTTTGTCTCACACAGAGCAAAGAATTAGGAATGTTTCTGGACCATTAGGCAAAGATGGTTGACATGGGACACCCGGCACAAGCTTGCAAAGACGGATTGTGCTATGCCGTGCGTAAACAAACTGAAACAGTCTGATCAGCTGCTGCCAGGCGGTGCTTATGCAAGGGCTATGCTTGAGCTTTACCTGCAAGTCGGATCCCGAATACTATCCTCAGCCGGGTCGATGAAAGTTACATACTGTTGGTTGGAGCATGTGCTACACATATCACTGGATAGGTTGCCACGGCGAGCAGTATTCGCCGAGGCAGGCATCGGGCCGAAGAAAGCCAAGGGTGGTCAAGCTAAGACTTGGCATGAGGGTATGCAAACCCTAACCAGGAGTCTGGGTCACATAGGTCCCGATAAGCTCCCTGGATTGGGACCTCGGGCTGATCGTACCCGATGGTTAGAGACACTGATTGGTATGGTTGAGTGTCGTAAACAGTGGTGTTTGTGCATCTTCTCAATTTCTTTGCAACATTGGTGCGATGAAATTCTAAATTTTCTCTTTGATCCTACTTTCGACCTTTCCTGTCTTTCTTCTAAGGTTCATTCCAATGGGCAGCCAAAAGACAGCCACCCAATAAGTCGCACGATAGTGCATGGTTAATGGTTGTACAAACTGAAAACTGTTGATGCAACCTAATCGGGTCGAAAAAAGCTGCGTGCAATGCTCCTGAGGTCTTCAGTTTACCCTTCTTTGTCTTTTGCTCACGAAAAAATTCATTGCGAAATATATCTTGTTCGTTGACAGCCATTAGTCACAGGAAAATGATGGCCCCAGAACGGATGGCGCTTAGTGACTAAGCAAAAGTACAAAATCGTCGCGCCTAAATGCTGCAAGTAGACGAGCAAGTTGTCGGTAAGTGCGGGTGGCATGATTGATTGCTTTGAACGTACTCTTTCTAGTTCTTGTGTTTCCGGTTTTCTCCATGTTTCAAATTTTAAAGCAAACAATGACATAGACGTAGTAAGTAGTACATTCTAGAAAGTGGCAAATTTCGCCGAAGCATATTTTCGTATTGACTGCATAGTTAATTGTTTCGATACTGTTTTCTTCCGTCTCTCTCCGCGCTTCGCCTCCGCTCCAATCATGCATCATTCAGCCGTGTAGCGCACTATGGCATTCGTCCGCAAGCTCATCACTTAACGGTGAGCACACATCGACTCCGGATTGTCAAATACTGGAAGAGCCGATAGTCTATTTTCGACTCCGATTTTACGTTCCGATTCACTGTTTGAGGGATCGATCCACACAACATGCCTACTATTGCCAGTTGAGAACGAACGTACAAATTTACGAACTATTTTGTCCCGTCGATTTGTATGTGGAATTGGCTGCACTCGCCTTGCAAGCAGATCTCGGTAACGCTCCACCCCTATGCGCGCTTGCTCTGCAACAGGGCCACGAGACGTTACCAGTGTATTTTGACCTGTCCGCTTATTTTCCGGCAAAGGTGAGAATATCCTACAGATAGTTCGCTTAAACTGGAACTTTTTGTATGTTGTGTAATAATGCTCAGTGCTCAGGCACGGACTTCTTTTGGTTGCACCTCCTACTTGGACGGTGGCATAACGAAAGAGGTGGCCTTACGCATATTGATGAGTCTAGTGACACGCTCTACAGAAGCACTTGTGACTTCAAGCTTTGGCTAATCGAAGGCTCTGGCAACGTACAGAGTTCGCCTGCTTTGGTTTGGGTAACCTAACCGTATTTCGCTAAAATGTCTTGTGCTCTGTTTTATGTTTATGATAGCGTCTTGTGTGTTCAGTATCGTCGGTGTGAAAAATTTGTTATTCATTACATTTAAACCAATAAGTTTACCAGTCGCCAATCTTAATCACAACGCACCCTGCACCGACTGCGATTCCAGTCTAAAGATCAGTTTGGATGAATTGGAAACTAAGTATGAATAACCGAAGGACGGAATAAAGCAGAATGAACTCCTCTCGTTTACCGAGCTGCCATCTACATAGGATTGCAATCAGTGGATTAGAAAGAGAGACAACAAAACAAATAGTTTTTAATCGGTCAAAGATGTTGTCCGGTCACATTGCCTGTAGGGCCTTGAACACAAGGATGTGTAGTCTGTATTCGGTCCGCAATGATTCACCTTGTTTCATCTCACTCCCCTGTCAATCGCCAGATGCAATTTCTCCCACTCTCTTAAATATTTGCAATCACTACGTACATATGATGAGCTTTTTATCAATTAGTGAAGTTTAGTTTATTTGTTTCACCATAATGCAGAATATTCCTTGCGTGAAACAGACAATTTCACATGTTGCAGGATAGGAATAGTTCCAACACATTAGTAGCATCAATCAGTAAATCTACATTTAATAGTTGTAGTAGTTGCAGGTTTTCTCGGCGATGGAGTCGTTTCAGTCCCCAGTACTGCTATTCGTCTTTCCTCGAGGTACGAAATTCCAGTGCTATTGACAACATCCTGTACTAATGGCAGAAAACTGATTCGATATCATAGTTATTCCGAAGAGCGTCTTATGTGATTTAGCACTTCACGTATTAGAGAGTGTGTTGGACCGATCTGGACAGTTGTTACATTGCAAAGCGATGTGAAAATGGTCAGCACAACAGTGCATTTGTTCTTTCTCCGAATGTGAGTATCTCAAGATGTTCGTTATTTGTCTACCACTTGAGTTGAGAATCCTTGAATAAAAGGACTTTCCTGTTCCCATACCCCAGTCATGTTGCCCATATGGTGTCATCGAATCGAATGATTAAAAAGGCCATGTTTGGGCTGATTTTACNCCCCGCACACATAAATCGTGCTTCCTGCTACTAATTCGTTGGGTATCTATTTTGTTTTCTATTTCTCGATGAGTTTACGGCTCGCGGGAATCGTTTAATTGAAGCGTTCCCTACCAGCAACTTTTACTCTTTTTTTACATTAAAGGCTTATTAAAACAATTCAAATCTAGTCTGCCGAACAAAGAAACCTTCTCGGTTGGATCACGTGATCACATGAATCTGCTTTTGGGTCTTGGTATCTGCTATCCTAAGTACTTGCATCACAGAATCCCAAACTTTTGTAGGTAGCACCCTACTGAACCGAACGAGGGCGGAGCTATTTACCATCAGTTAATGTTTGCAGTGAAAAGTCATGGAATTATTCATAAATGGTATTCTAGGTTCAATAGAGCTAAATTCGGGTTCAGTTTTATCACCAATCCAGAGCTGGTAATGCATAGCTGTCCGTTTGAGACAACAGATAACCAAATCATCGCTCGACTGTTTGGTCGATTGGACTAATTAATGTGGTCTAGACGAAAACCGTCAATCTAACGAAAGCCCGATCTGGACAAGTAACGTGGCCTGAGGTAAGCGTTCATGTTACCGCGGCCGGGATAAACCATTGTCAAATTCTTTCCACGTACAGCTTTTGTCCACTTTTCTCGATATTTTTTAAAACTTTTTTCAGTTGTTGTTTGAGAAGTAACCATCACATTGATTAAGGCAATCTCACTCAACAAGTAGAATCACGTGGCTAGGATGTTATCATCAGTTGGCATGGTCTCCGTTTACTGAGATGTACCATTTGCATATGTTCCTTCGTCAGACAGATTTCACTGTGCCTCGATTGAGTGCTTTAATATATATATATATATATATATATATATTCGTTTGGGTTGAGAAAACCATGGAGCATTATCGCACAATCAGGATGAGCCCCAATCAGACGCACTCACGTGACTGACCTGATCGATGACGATCTTCAGTGTCCTCCGCCCGCCCCCGGGGCAGGGTGTGTTCTGGTAACAAGTCACACTGTTCAAATTGGTAAACAGTGAACAAAATAAAACGCTTGTATTTTAATTGACAAACATACTGTACGTCACGATTGTTACGGTCGGAAAATGCATTTAGCTGTGGATTGGGTCACGATACACCGACTAGGATACAGTCGTGAGCTAGCGAGCAAGCCAGCGCGGGTTCACAAGCACAAATTAGGTGTGAAAAATTCCGATCCAATTAGTGAGGTATGAGTGCAGAAATACAGAGGGAGTGTAGTGCTTCAACACGGATCAACATCGACTGCAGCTAAGAACTGGTTGTACGTTTCGCTTTGCTACATCCGCAGAGCTGTACATTTTTAAGCGTCTCACAAATACTGACCGTCGTATGGACCTGGTCTGCATTGTGAACGAANAAGCCAATTTATCATCAGGCTACCATCATGATAAGCGTAGCCTCAGGTCAGTTTCAGCTTATACAATAGGGGATCCCGTAATGTGGTTTTCTATGTCATAGATTATCACTGACAAACGTTGGTTCATCTTCCAACATTATTTTCAACCAGCGCTCCAATTGAGAAGAACAACATTTACTTATTCGTGAGGAATTACGATGGATGGTATGGATTTATTGATTGAAAGTTTATCACGCAAAATGCCTTCGGAATTACATCTGTCTGAACTTTGCTTCGTTAGTCTCAACAAGCTTCGTCAAGTACCACAATGCACGATTCTTTGTTCTTCTTCTTCTCCTTATTATTACTATTATGTATCGCAATTTCGGACTATATCCTGGGTGAGAAACAATCTGATTTTTTTCATTTAGGTGAAAAACGAAGTAATATTTATTTACGTCTAACTGATCATCTGGTCCATTTACTGTTTTCGATAGATCTTGGTCGAGGTGGATCTTCCCACCCTGGTCCGTTCAACGCTCATCCGACACGTAGCGTTGAATGGTATGACATCACACGTTGCCGAATTTTGGTACATTCGAATAGCCTCGAAAAAAGGCTCAAATTTCAATATGCATTTGTACAGTTTACCTCGACTACAGCAACCTCGATTTGCAGTCTGGTTAGGTGTTACCCCGGACGGTCTGTTAATTCATCAGGTATGTGTGTATCCACGGGGTCCACTGTTTCCGAGTTTGTGACCAGAACAAATTCAGTGAAATTTAATTTTTTCTTGTCTAGCACTATTTACCAATATTGTTTTCTCTTTGGCTATCAAGTCGGTGAATAAACTGGATACTGGAAACACATTGATAATTATGTATGCAATTACCCATGACTACATCTTGTCTCCAAACTGGGCTCTATTCAACTGAGGTCTGAATGAGCAAAAATTCAAACCAGACCAGTCCATCGGGAATGCGGATCCATGATGAGAAAAATAGTCATTACCACTTCATTATTTATCACAGGAGGAATCAGGTGTCGAATTGTGGAATCGCTTTCATCCAATCTGCGATATGATCACCTCTGAACCGTAAATTATGATCCCATCAGACGAACAAGTTCTCTGATTGATAAATCAATTGAATTAAATTGTGATAAATCAGCCCCATTCCCTGCGACAGATCGAACTCATCAATCTTAAGGCATGCAATGTGAAATGGAATTCTCGTCCCCCATTTGTTTACCAGATATCGCGGATGCACACCTTTCTGGTTCTGTTGGGTGGACTTGACCTTAGTGGATATTATTGTCTAACCGATATTTACCAATCGATTGCACCTCAAACAGATTTTTCTCACATTAGGACAGAACCTGAATCAATCTACTAATATAATAGATCCAGTTCCCTTCACACGGAGGGGGAAAACCTGATTTCAGCAAGATGACATGAATTCAATCAGGTCGTGTACTCTCTCATTCTGATGCATACGTAGTACACTGACAGTTGAGGCCGAGAAAACAGCACACAAAAACAAGATGATCCGGGCAGGGGACGTGTCAATTAGAGCACCATTAAAGTGGAATATGGTAGAGTCTGGCCAGAGATAAGATAAACAGCATGAATCAAGCAATCAATCAGGTGCTGGTCGTCCGGTGGTAACGTCACCAAATTTTCACCCCGGGGATGCGTGTTCGAATCCCACCACCTAAGTGTGTTGAATGGCAGCTCTTTGATTGGCCGCTTCCCTCTTCCTGAAGACGGTATATTTGTATTTTTAATAAAAGAAAGTAAAAAAAAATGAGAAAAGAAAAAAAAGAAAAAGGCGAATGAACACATGAGAGCAATATCAGTTCCATTGTGTTCAATGCAGAAACATAAACCCTCAAGATTATAGTTGTGTTTTGATAATAGGGCACTTTGTGTCTGAAGGAAAGTTTAACTCGACGATCTACTTTTAAATTCGAACAAAACAAACGGAAACACAAGTTATGGGGTTCAGTTGCCACTTTATCGATTTAAAAAGAATCCGAATTTAGAAAATAAGTCATTGAAAGCACACATCAAACGGTTTCATTAAGACTGACCTGGTTTCCTCCGGTTCGGTCAATAGGTGACAGACAACTAACGGACACTCGAATGTGTCAAGTCAGCCAGGAGTCTTATTTTCTACCATGTCAATCAAAATGATCCCCCTGAAAATCAAATGTTTGGCGAACATCACATATTTGACATGCCAAATACTACGTGCAAATTCATCCCAATGCGTTAAAAGCTTGCAAACTTGAGAGTGACAACAAGCATCAGATTGAAGCTCATCACAAATTCGCCATACCAATTTGTGGAATAGCTGATTCGAATCGCTTGCTCACTCGCCAGTCTATAGTTGGTTACTCAGCCACTCATTGCATGAAACCGGATGTGCCGTGTAACTCGAGGTGAAAGCGTTCGCGGGTGAGTACGCGTAAGAGCGAGAGCGCGATAGAGGATTTGGTTGTCCTCATGGACTGAGCCAAATTTGCACTTTCAAGCGCACGTAAATTCATACTGACGATTAGTTCTGTCAGCGGACGAATCGCATTATGCAAATAGATTGGGAAATAACAACAAATATGAGCATACAGTTTAGACAGAGATTACCACCCACCCACTCCCATTCATCAAAATGCCAAATTTTCAGCACACTAATCAAGCGTTTTGGACCAAAAACCTTTTGGATGACGGAGAATATAACATAATACAACTCGTTGGTGTTTGTGTGCGTGTGTGTGTGTATCTGGTCATAGCTGGTTAATGGTTGATGTTTGACATGTGATAGCCGTTCTGGTCTGTATGGAACAGATTTCAGTACCGATCATTTTCCGACAAGTAGCAGGATACAAGGCGGCGAGTTTTGCTGACGCCAGAGGGACAAATCAAGTGGAAACTATTAAATTTGTGTAAATTTCCAAGCGTGGCTTACAACGAGAAAGAGAAATTCTTTCTGGACTATTTAGCTCAATCCTATCTGGTTTGTGTTAATCTGAGCTATGTAATTCAATTTATATTTCAATCAGCTGTGTGTTAGAGAAAAACCTAATACAATGGCTTAGTTTTTACGAAATCGGAAAATTCAGAGCTGTTACTCAACGGACAATGAATTGATTTTCGGCAGGTTGGAAGAGCCAGTTGGTGAAGTTTCTCTGTTTTGTCTTCAAGTGTAAATTACAATTTTTCTGGCTTTTCACAAGCGGATAAACATGTCTGAAATAAATTACACAAACAGACTGATTTAGATGATTACATGTATCCATTTTTGTAAAATGCATTTTGGAAAGATTTGCCACTCGAAAGCAGCGTAAGCAAATGGAACCGGGTAAAATATTTGTCTGTCACACTGATTTGAAAACATAGTTTAGGCCCCATCGACACAGCAGAGCTGTGTGCATCTCCGCGAACAATCGGGTCCTGGTGACCAAGTTGGAAGCTGCGGATCACCCACTTTTTGGTACTGCAACTGAAAAAAAGAACTGCTCATTTGGGCCGACTCAAAGCGCGCTCATTATTTTAACTTATAGCACACAAGAGCTATCGGGATCACATCGCAAGAAAAATAGGGATCCTCCGGTTAACTGGTGAATAAGCACCTCTAAAGTTTAGCAAAAAGACGCCAAGAGCTGAAATACTTTAAAGCCTAAATCCGTCAATTTTTCATTTATATGTGTCTGTGATCCTTCTTTATTTTATGGACACTCCTCCAGGTATTCGAAATCCAGATGTCAAAACTGGATCAGATCACACGTATAACTGATAATCACGTTGATGATGAAAATTATGATGCTGATGGCGATGATGATGATGATAATGATGATGATGATGATGATGATGATGATGATGATGACGATGATGATGACGATGATGATGATGATGATGATGGTGATGATGATGATTCGGACGATTATCTTGATTATTATGATGATGTTGTTGATGATAATGATGATTCGGTTGATGATGATGATGATGATGATGATGATGCCTCGGTTGACGATGTTGATGATGATGATTGTCTTTCGAATCTTGATGATGATGATGATGTTTCGGATGACGATGATGATGATGATGACGATCATGATGATGATTCGGATGACGATGATGATGATGATGATCATGATGGTGTTCGTGATCATGATGTTGATGATGATGATGATGATGTTGATGATGATTCGGATGATGATGATGATGATGTTTCGCATGATGATGATGATGATGATGATGATGATGGTGATGATGATGATGATGA